GGCCCATATTAAATTAGATGCAAATCCCATAACTCCTCTTATGATTCACGCCCACTTTTTGCTCTGACAGAGAGCTTACCACTTATACCTACAACATCTCAGAGGACATCAAAACCTTCCTGGATTCCTGTCAGGGAATCCGGAAGTGAGCTAGCTGATAGTTTGGCATCTGGGACACAACTAAATAAAGTGACTGAGGCTTCAGACTTCCATTCCTTGACTCATACTAATTGGAGAGGCCTCAAAGATAAATTTCCACAAGTTCCTGTTAAAGATCTTAAAAAGATTATCAGAACTTGCAGGTCATTCCAACCCTTCCTTCAATTACCACCCCTCCAAAAGTCAGGTATCAATCCTAGAGGATTGTGTCCCAATAATCTTTGGCAGATAGATGTGACTAACTTTTCCCATTTGGAAAAATAAAATACATCTTTCTTTCAGTGGATACATTCTCGAATACATGTTGGGCTTCGGCTCATGCTGGAGAGAAGTCCAAACATGCTATTAGTCATCTGCTTCAGTGTTTTGCCACCTTGGGTCTACCTGATAATATTAAGACAGACAATGGTCCATGCTTTATAAGCAAACCATTTCGGGAATTCTTACAGACATGGAAAATTTATCATATTACTGGCATTCCTTATAATCCAAAGGGCCAAACCATAACAAAAAGAATTAATCATACTTTAAAGATACAATTACAAAAACAAAAGGTGGAATCATTACCCCCTCACGATCAATTGAAAAAGGCATTATTTACTTTAAATATTTTAAAATTTTCAAAAGATAATCAGTCACCATTTCAAAAACATTGGTCTATATCCACTCCATATAGTTCCATAAGAGTCAGATGAAGAGATCCATTGACAGGAGCTTGGAGAGGACCTAACCCTCTTCTCATAGCAGGAAGAAGATTTGGATGTTTATTCCCCAAAGATGAGAAGAGGCCCATATGGGTTCCGGGCAGAGATATAAAATATTTGCCACCACTAAAAGATGAGGATGACAATGATGACCCCTCCAGGGAGTTATCTACCACTGAGAAGCATTCTTTTATATCCCCAGAAACCAATAAAAATGTGGAAGACGATCCTTTTCCTGGTGAACCTTATGATCAGTGAAGGAGGATTCAGAGATCTTGCCAAGACCCAAGAGGTTATAGAAGAATGGAGCTTAGCTCAGTCTCCCTGCTTTGGCACGGAAGGACAGAGGTCTGTTGGAACTATGAAGCCCCCATTGGCTATACAGATGGGGGTGTTCAAAACTTAATTACCACCCACCAGTTTTGAATATTTAATATTAAATATTTTAAATACTTTAAATATTTTAAATTACTCCACTGTTCCCTTTCCCCGACCTTTCCACCGGGTACTGCTTTCAGGTACTACCTCATCCTGATAATGGCAGCATTGATGTTGGGAGTGTCCACCCCTCCCTCTGTCACTCCAACTCTTTCCTGGAGTAATCCCTTCCTTGCCCCCCTGAATGGTGTTTTGTTGTGCGGAAGGAATGGCCTTTAGACTCCCTGCCAGCGGTAGTTCTTCAAAACAGAAGGGGTTTGGACCCACTAATTGTCAAAAAGGGTGGCATCTGCTTGTTTTTGCAGGAAAAATGCTGCTTCTATGCCAACAAATTGGGCATTGCCAGAGATCAAATCAAAATCCTCCAAGAAGACTTGGAGAAATGACACTGAGAAGAAAAACCCCTCTGGATTGGCTTTCATGGCCTCCTTCCTTATATTCTTCCTCTACTTGGACCTTACTTTTCCTCCTTCTCCTACACATAGACCAACAGAACCACAGTTTGACCCACGTCCATCTCATTCCCACTAGACTCTTATATGTAGTTCAGTAGGTTCAGTAGAATTGTTCAAACTGGCCTGGGGAGAGCACACTTTACACACATAAAATGGTGTGGTTCGTAGCCTCCCTCGGAGCTTCCAATATCTGCATCAGAGGAGAATCTGGGAAAGAATTTGCACACTACCTCCTACTGGTGTTCCTGATTAATAGGCCTTGCCAGAGTCTCTTATTAACTTCGACAATCCAGCTGGATGTCAGAACACTAGCAGCGAGGAGCTCCTCTTCTTGGGAATCAGAGATAAAATGACTCAGACAGCTGAGGTCTTCCCAGTTAAGGGCAGACAGGGTCCTACTCTGAGAAATTTTTATTTCTGTATAATTTTCCAGTCTCCAGGAGCTCTCCCTGTTCCTCTTAAAAGGCACATTCATTTCCACATTCAAGTCCAGTGTAGATATCCCTACCACATTCCTGAGAACCCCTGCAGCCAACTTTTAATCAAAGTCAAACAGCAACAACAATTAACAAAAACAGTTGTCATCAATTTAAAATTAATGAGCAGTAAATGAAACTTGCCTCCTAGCTTGACAGGCAATTCTCCCTGGAGACACTGATTGGACAGAAGTGTCTTGAATGACATGAGCCCTTCCCTTGGGGTTAGTGCCTGAGGAAGATATACAGCATAATAGTCCCAGTCCCAGGTTAGCCATTCATGCCCATGCCTTTTCCAGACCTGCATAGATGTGCATTTCAGTAGCACATGTGCCTGTCCTCCATCTGTCTTCCCACCTATCCCACCTGGCAGGACCCATCACTCCAGCCAGCTCTGCTCAGGGGATTGCTCCTTCCATTGATGGGCAGTGACCCTCTACTCACCAAGTTGGGACTTTGGAACTTGCTTGAACTTCCCTCACAACACCTTGCAGCAGTGCTCAGAGCACTTCACATGGAATTATTTAAACCTAATCAGCTACAGAGCAAAACCTCCAGCATGACTCCCTGAAGAATCTGCCTCCTAGCCTGACAGGTACTGATTGGCCAGATCGACTTGAGTGACATGAACACCTTTGTTAGGGTTGGAATGTGCTGAAGATACCTAGCCTGTTGGTTCCTGATTCAGGATTCCTATACAGGAACAAAACTTTTCTAGGTATACAGAGATTCCTAATTCTGTAACACTTGGTGCCTTACCTCATAGCCTTCCTGTCTATCTTCCCATCCAGTCCAGGGAGGATCCATTCTACTTCGTGCTGCTCACCATTCTGTACCTCCCATTTGTGAACAATGACCTTCCAATCACCATTTCGGGCCTTTGGAGCTTCCTCGAGCTTCCCTCAAAATCTGCAGTGTCCACTCTCAAATCTTAGAACACTGGGACTTTTAAGCTTGCTCAGAAACAGAGCAGAACCTAGAGTGCTGCATCTAGAAGGACCTGCCTTCTCTTCTGCATGGAGGCCCTGACTGGCCATTTCATCTTGAGTGATATAAATACTTCTCTTAGGGTTAGAATGTGCTTAAGGTACATAGCATATTGGTTGCTGGTTCAGGATTCCTATCCAGGGACAAAACTTTTCCAGGCATGCAGAGATTAACAGTTCAGCAGCATTTGTGTCTATCCTCCAGTAGCCTTCCTGTCTGTCTTCCCTTCCAGCCTAGGGAGGACTAACCACTTGAGCTTACTCTGTTCAGCTGCCTGCTCCTCGCCCTTGTGTGTAGTGATGCTAACCTCAGCAAGTCATAGCACCCATGAAACACTTCACCTTCTTCTCACTGGAATCAAGGTGGACAACTAGTACAATCAACTTGCAGTGGAGTTATCAATCTGTCCCACAATTACAGAGAGAGGGTTTAGGAAACATGGGTTTTGGGTTTTTGTCTTCATGTTGGGTTCAGTAAACTGCAGGTACTTTCTAACTGGTAGGCATGACACAAACCAAACAGAACAGCAAGAAAGTGATGATAAATGCTGAAGTGCACTATTCTTAGCCTGCACATTTTTCTCAGTGAGAAAGGGAAAGAGAAACACAGACATATATCATGCAAGGTTCCATGATGAACAGAACTCATAGAATAAATCTCTATGTGTATAGAAAGTTTATTCATTCGCATGTCTCACAGGCTGTAGTCCAAATAGTCCAAACAATGGCTGACTACCAATGGAAAGTTGAAGAAGCTAATAGTTGTTCAGTGCAGGTAGCTGAATGTCTCAGATGGTCTTCAGTATATAAAAGAATTCCAAGGAGTAGGCTCTATTGAGGTTAAAAAAAAATGAACTTGGTAGCCAGAGGCAGGGCAAGCAGAAAAAGAGAAAAAGCTAATACTCTCAATGTCCTTTACATCGATAGGATATAACCAGACTAGACACAGCTGTGGATGAGATTAAAGGTCAATCTTATCACCTTAAAACACTCAGATTAAAGAAGGGTTTTTCCACTTCAAAAGCTGTATGAAAAATTCCCCACAATACTCAACTCTTTGTGTTTGCCTTAGGTCCAGATATAGTCAAAATGACTGCCTAGACTAGCCATCACACTAGGCAATGCAGAACTGATAAAGAGGTTTTTGCTGGGGCAGGCAATAAGAGCATGTGAGGCCTTTCCAAAGCAATGGTTTTTTTTCAACAAAGCAAGCACTGGGATTTCACTTAGGGAATATGGATATGGCCAAATGTGAGTTCACCTACTCTGAGCCATGCTAAATAATATCTATGCTAAATTAAATCCTATTCTGAATATAATCACAATGTAAAATCAGAGCTTTAAGGACACTCTTTGCTCAAAGTCACTAGGAAATATATGTAATTTCAAAAAATGATAGACATAAATGCCTTTGGAACTCTTATTTTGGACCACAAGTTCTTACCTGAAAATTAAGTAAATGACACCACTAAAGTAGATTGCTCAGGAGGCAGTGCCTTCTAGTAATCATGATTTCTGATCTATCAGGTTGATGTTTTAATGCTATATTTTCCACTTATACAAAGGACAGAGAGCACCAATTCAGAAAACTTCAATTCAAAAATACATCTGTCAGCACTGTGGACAGTATCCTTGAGGGGAAACAAACATATAAATTGCAATATACTGTATATTTTTGAAATCATTTTGATACATGATACTTCCACATAGCAATGGATGTTTTAGAATTTGATCTATGGATTTGGGCATGGCAGCACACACCTACAATAACAGCACTCAGGAAGAATGAGGCCCAAATTTGCTGCCAACCCAGTCTACAAATTGAGAACAGAACAGCCAAGGCTACACAAGGAAATTCTGTCTGAAAAACAATCAAACAAGCAAACAAAAGAACTCACTCTGTGGACCAAGCTGACCATAATCTCAGAGAGATTAGCCTACCATGGACTCCCAGATCAAGAATGACAGGGATGCACTTCTGAGCCAAGTGGAGATATGTTTTTAAAATGACCTATCCTTGAATCAAGGAACAAAATGATAAAATAAGATGTACAAAGGAACCATTTTTCTTTTAATGAATAGTACAAAATCTTCAAATGCTACAATTATTTACACCTGAAAATCATTTCTGTCATCAATAAGTGGGTTCTTTGCTTTAATATTATCCATTTAAAAATGTTTGTGTGTATACAACTATGCTACAGTATATATGTACCAGTGAGAGGACAACTTATTTATTATCTACATCCCGTATGTGAGTTCTCAAAATGGAATCCAGAGTCTTAGCCAGTGACCACAATGGCCCTCATTTAGGTTGAAAAAAATTACGTATGTGCTAGTGTGTGAGTTTGCATATACAGCAGCCCAATTATACAAATATTAAAAAAATTTTGTAGGAGTGATATATGCTACCCAGAGGTTGAGCTCAAATCATCAAGGTTAGCAACAACCAACTTTACCCACTGAGACAATTCTCAGACATTCACTTGTAGTTCTGAGAAAGTGTTAAGAACAAGTATATACTCCTAAGAATGAAGTAACACATTTCAAAACAGGAAATCAGTAAATCATTTTCATTTGTTAAGAGCATTTGTTATTCAAATCACATCATTTTCTTCCATCCTCAGATGACAATTTGTTTATAATCTGAATAGAAGATAATATTGTACGGATATACAGTTTCAACTAAGTTTGAATATCAATGAGCTCAGGGGGAAAATTTGTGGTATGTAAAACTGGCAACATAACCTTGAAGATCATATAACAATGACAAAAATAATCCCCAGAAAGTGTCACACACCCTTCATATATCTGCCATGACCTAAGATCCCTTACTTACACTACAGACACATAACATGCTTTTTTGAAATAAATCTCGTTCCTGTTACATTATCTAATATCTCTAGATAATTCTCTTAGAAGGCAGTTCTTCAAGATGTGACATATAGTAAATACGGGAACATAAAGAAACATGGGACATCAAACAATATGTACATACATAAACACATACTATTGAACATTTTAACATTAACTAATTACTGACATTTAAGCAAGGCTGAAAGCAAAGGAATTTGTGAAAACATTAAAAAAAGTACCACACTTTCTCAGAGACCCTTCCTTGAAAACTATGATCACACACTACCTGACAGAAATAAGCAATGGACCACATAGATGATGATGGAGATCCCATTCTATACATTCCAACAGAAAAATACCTATCACGAAGTGGAAATGCATTAGAACATGAACAGCCGCCACAGAAAGAATACCAGAACAACCTAATAAACTTCTGTGAATGGATTTGCTACATATACAAAAAACTTCAATACCTACTCCAATGTCTCAAATTACTGACTGTAACCACAGTTGGTGATCTCCTCCATTACATTTAAGTGAACATGGTAAATCATTTACTTCCTCCAAGGCTATAGTAAAAACAAATTTAAAAGTTTATTTTCTCAAAATTGAATACATTTACTAAATCCAAAGTCATCAAATCTTATATACAAATAGGGTTGCTCTCTTCTATGAGTTCTTTTCTACTTCTCAATCTCAAGATATATAAAGATTTAAGATACTTACAGTACTAGAGACATGGCTTGGCCGTGAAGTTCATTCCCAGAACCTAGGTCAGGTTTTTACAATGTTCTATAATTCCTGGTACAAGAAGATCAAAAGGTCTGTTCTTCATGGAAACCAGAATGGACAGGAACATAAACTCGAAAAGACATACTGAGATCACATAACAGAAAGTAAAGCAAATTCTTAAACTAATATGTTTACTCGTGAGTTTTTGTGTAAGCATTCATTCCTGTAACTCAGCTGTTGAGGCATCTACAAGTTTATCTACAGTTTTTCTTCATAAATTCCTTCATGTAATAGAAATCAAACATGTAGTTTTGAAGTCAGAGAAATGAATCCTCAGTTGGTGGAATCATTTATGAATGTTTAGGAAAAGCAGCACTCTTGGAGAAGTATGTTACTTGGCATGGGATTGATAGTTTCAACTGCACAGCATCTGTAATTCCCACTCTCTGCTTCATGCTGCAGGTTGAGGACGTGAGCTCTGAGCTTCCTGCTTTAGCCACCATGTATGACACTTGTGATTCCCATTTCATAGAGATCCCATATACCACTGGAACCGTAAGGCAAAACCAACACATTTGAAAGGTGACAGACATTGTGTTTTGTTACAGAAATAGCACTAATAGACACATGTAAATTTTATAACTCGATGATTTATTTCATGTAATTGAAGAGAATTGAGAAATCTAAGAAGGTTACCTTATGGTTTAAATTCCTAGGCCTTTTTTCCATATCGACTTTTAATTGGAAAGAAAAGAAGGATGGAATGTCATAATGCATGAATACATTGTTGACACTTGTTACAATTTTCCTCCCAAATAATTTCCTGTAATTGAATGCAAGTTAGTTGATCAAAGACCTTAACAAATCTTTTATCCTAACAGATTTTCTTGAGAGTGAGTTCTTTAAGGTTCTCAAAGACTACTGTGATATGCAAAGGCTTTAAGAAGTTGCTCACACATGAAAGCTTTTACTCTTCTATAACGGTACCATGAAGTGCAAAAGTTTACCAAACTGACTACATTCATACGGTTTCTCTGGAACATGACTTTTTCTTCTGATTTCAAAGACAACTCCATGAAAAGGATTACCACATTGCTTATCCAGAGGGTCTTACTGCAGTATGTATGTGGAGATAACTGCATTAAGAAAAGGCTTTATCACATTGATTACATGTGTAATATTTCTCTCTACTATCCCTTTATAGACTTGAAGTTGACTTTGACATGCAAAACATGCAAGATTAATTTGCATGTTGGAACATGGTAAAAAAAAATTAATTCCTATGTATTGCTTTTTAGATACCAGCCTCCAGTAAATTTTAGAGTGACATTTTACATCAGGTGAAACCTTCAATGACATAAACAAATCCCATATCCCTAAATCATGATTGATTAAAGAATTAGTTGTAAAACAACACATATATTATGATTTTTCAAGCTCAGAGCCTCTATAACTTTCTTGTTCACTGGGTGGGTATGTATCAGAGATCAGTTCCCAAGAGTGTTAGGTTACTGGTGACAATAAATTATTGTTATTTGCATTGATCTCGTGTTTGAGTTATTTTGGATTCAGCAGACCAAAGAATACAAAGGCCTTACCATATTTCTTATATTTTGAGAATTTCTCTACAGTATAAACTTTTATGATAATGAAGAACATACATATGTACAAACCCCTCATATTTTAACACATTTATAATGTTTCTCTCGAGTAGGAATTCTTTCATGATGATGAAGAGTATACAAATGTGGAATAGCTTCACTATGTTAAATGCACTCATAGTCTTTCTGTCCAATATGAATTCTTTCATGAATTTGAAGATGATTGTGAAGAGCAAGTATTACCACATTGGTTACATTCGTAAGGCTTCTTCCCAGTATGTGTTCTTGATCTCATAGGAGATTATTATTACATCGAAAGGCTTTATTACATTGGTTTCTCTCCAGTGTGTACTCTTCAATGAATATTATTATGGCACTCAAAGGCTTTGACACACTGGTTACATTAATATGGTTTCACTGCATGAGGTGTTCTTGTTCAAGATGACTCTTACATGAAAAGCCGTTATGATATTGGTTATATTCATAGAGATTTCCTGCAACATGCATTTTTTATAATTAGGAGATGACTGTGTTGTACAAAGGTAATGCCACACTGATTACATTAATAAAGTGTTTTTTTTTCTCCAGAATAAGTTATGTTTTCAGAAATTACTCTGAAATGCACACACATTATCATGTTGGGTACATTCAAAAGATTTCTCTCCAGTATGTGTTCTTTTATGGACTACCAGATGACTGTTCAGTGCAAAGGCTTTACCACATTGGTTATATTCATAAGGTTTCTTTCCAGTGTGGGTTCCTTTAGGTCTTAGGAGATCAGTTACATGCAAAGGCTTTACCACATTATTTACATTCATAAGGTTTCTCTCCAGTGTGAGTTCTTTTATGTCTTAGGAGAACGTTGTATTCAAAGGCTTTATCACACTGGTTACATTCATAGGGTTTTTCTCCAGTGTGAGTTCTTTTATGTACAAGGAGATGACTGTTACCTGCAAAGCCTTTACCACATTGGTTACATTCATAAGGTTTGTCTCCAGTGTGAGTTCTTTTATGTATTAGGAGATTACTGTTAGCTGAAAAGGCTTTACCACATTGGTTACATTCATAAGGCTTTTCTCCAGTGTGAGTTCTGTTATGTAATAGGAGAGCACTCCTCCGTGCAAAGGCTTTACCACACTGGTTACATTCATAAGGTTTCTCTCCAGTGTGAGTTCTTTTATGTATTAGGAGAACACTGTTATCTGCAAAGGCTTTACCACATTGGTTACATTCATAAGGTTTCTCTCTAGTGTGAGTCCTTTTATGTCTTAGGAGATGACTGTTCTGTGCAAAGGCTTTACCACATTGGTTACATTCATAAGGTTTCTCTCCAGTGTGAGTTCTTTTATGTATTAGGAAAACATTCTTGTATGCAAAGGATTTATCACACTGGTTACATTCATATGGTTTTTCTCCAGTGTGAGTTCTGTTATGTAATAGGAGAGTACTCCTCTGTGCAAAGGCTTTACCACATTGGTCACATTCATGAGGTTTCTCTCCCGTGTGAGTCCTTTTATGTAGCAGGAGATTACTGTTAGCTGAAAAGGCTTTACCACATTCATTGCATTCATAAGATTTCTCTCCAGTGTGAGTTCTTTTGTGTATTTGAAGATTACTATTGCATGCAAAGGCTTTCCCACATTGGTTACATTCATAAGGTTTCTCTCCAGTGTGAGTTCTTTTATGTACAAGGAGATCACTATTATGTGCAAAGGCTTTACCACACTGGTTACATTCATAGGGTTTTTCTCCTGTGTGAGTTCTGTTATGTAATAGGAGATTATTGCTCTGTGCAAAGGCTTTACCACACTGGTTACATTCATATGGTTTTTCTCCATTGTGAGTTCTTCTATGTCTTAGGAGATGACTATTACTTGCAAAGGCGTTACCACACTGGTTACATTCATAGGGTTTTTCTCCAGTGTGAGTTCTTTTATGTGATAGGAGATTATAGTTCTGTGCAAAGGCTTTACCACACTGGTTACATTCATAAGGTTTTTCTCCATTGTGAGTTCTTCTGTGTCTTAGGAGATGACTATTACTTGCAAAGGCTTTGCCACATTGGTTACATTCATGAGGATTCTCTCCTATATGTGTCCTTTTATGTCTTAGGAGATGACTGTTATTTCCGAAAGAGTTACCATATTGTTTTGATTCATAGCGATCCTCACCAGTATGCATACTTTCATATGTGTGGGCACTCCTGGGATGTGTAAAGACTTTGTCATATTGAGTATCTTCAGGGGGTTTGTGTCCACTATGACTGTTTTCATACCTGCAAAGATAATTGGCACATATGAAAGATTTACCACATTCATTACACTGATGAATCTAATTGTCCAAGTCACATAATTTTACAATTTGGTTTAAAGGTAAATAGGAATTACATCTTGAGTTTTCATCATTATTTTTACGTTCATGGTGTTCTTCTCTATATCATACTTTTTTCTGTAAGATATTTTACCACAGATTTGTAGAAAACTGTAAGACCTCAGAGTTTTAACACACTGGCTGGATTAATAAATTTCCCTATACTGAGGACCATGGAAAATTGGCAAAGATAACTGTGACAAAAAGAAGAATTTTAATATTCCTAAAACTACATTTTCTGAAGTGTGATTTTGTGAGAATTCCTAATGAAGTTGAATAACCACTTAATTGATGTTGGTGTATATTGTGTGAAAGTGTGTCAGTGTGTGTGAATGCTGATTGCTGAGCCAGCAGAGAGCTAAGTGCTGACCAGATTGCAGAATTGCTCTTTTTATGGCCCATCACCTGCCCTATATTTTGTAGACATTTGTCCAGCCTTACTTATCTATTGTAAATAATATAGAGCTGAAAACTGATAGCAGGGGACAAAATGGAGGCCAGAGCTTTCTGAGTGAGAGAGGATTGCTGGGAAGAAGAAATCAAATGACAAGCAATTCACCAGCAGGACACTGAGGGTAACAGATGGACATGAACCTGAACAAAGAGGTACAGCTGGACATGTATTGGGACACTGTGCTAGGTTCATTTGAATTAGGGAAAAAAAGGGTTCAGAATCTACCTAAATTGCCTAAGCTGAAAAATATTAAAAAAGCCATTGTGTCATTATTTGTACTGCTTGCATCTCTGAATACCTCATGTAAAGCATAATAGGTATCACCTGTTAAACTACTCAAAATGGGGAATACTATATATTTTATTTGTTCTGGGTGGTACATTGTTTCTTTCAATAAACCTATACTAATATGACTTGTATTCATTGTGATATACGATACACCTATTAAAAGAAAATTAATAAACGACATGGTTTTATGTTGCATTAACACATTTGATTTTTGTTCATCATAGACATGTGCTATAGGGATTATGGTTTTTCCACAACAACATTCTTGACTCTAAAAAACTACACTTCTCACAACATGAGTAATCCCAGCTTTACTAAGGACTAGTTTATTAGTATAATGTTTTGGACATACTTGCATCACCTATTTAATGTGAATACCTTTGGCAATATCTAAGTTATAGGAGATTAAAAAAAATTGCAGATTCTACCTTACAGTGCTAACAAGGCTATGATTTAAACACTGATCTTGTGTAAGGTATGATTTCCTTGTATTCTTTGTTAGAGGAGTGCCTTGGAAACACACATCAAATACCTAACATGGAGGTACATGGTTTAGTAACAAGTTAGTAATCCTCAATAAATACACTTAAAGCAGTTCATTGACACTGTTCGTTCTTTTTCAAATATGTCTTTCATATGTCTTCCAGGACATATTAAATTTTCACAGAACCATATTGACATCTGCTTACAGATGAAAATTACCTTCCATGTCTTCTAGAACTTTGACAATGCTCCTCAACATTATGACCTTCCCAATTATAACCTAAAATACAGTAAAAGAAAATGTATGATTTATTATTGGAAATAAGGCTAAATTTAGGTCATGATATTGGTTCAAAGAACCATTGACCTCCTTCTTCATCCCCAGAAGAAATTACAGAAGCATACCAATAATGAATAAAGAGTTTCCCCATATATTAAAAAGTAAAGAAAATTCATTGTTCTACCTATAGCAGTGAGGTTCCCATAGGTCTCCAGCATCACATCTTTGTAGAGACTCCTCTGGGAAGGATCCAGCAAAGCCCACTCTTCTCGAGTGAAGTTCACATGCACATCATTGTAGGTCAATGTACTCTGAAATGTTCATACATGTGTACAACAGAAAGCATGATACTTAGAATACTGGAAACATATACTTCATTTACAACATTTTCACAGAATTCTGTTGTTTCTTCTGCTTATTTTCTGACACACAATTTCCAATGTAATACCTAACTCCTTTCAGTAGGAAACTGTATAGTGAGGTTCACCTCTCTAATTTCTGCATCTTTTAATAAGGATATATACTTTCAAGAGAAATGCCAATTAAGAAAGAGAGAGTATAAAGGTCAACAGTAGTAGGCCCACATAAGAGAAATAGTATAAGTGATTCCTGACTCTAATAACAATGGACAAGCTGGGTGTATTTTCTGATGTCTTTAATCGCAAAATCACTTAGGAGACAGAGTCAGGGGTATCTCATAAAGCTGGATGCTAGCCTGCTCTATGCGATAAGTTCCAGGACACTCAGAGGTACATAATAAGAACCTGAATATTCTGCAAAAATGGATCAAACAAAAAAAAGATCTGAAAGATCTTTCTCAAGTTTCTACAAAGTATAATTCTCTCCAGTTCAGTATATATGTCTAGAAACCTGAAGTGCCTCATTTTAAACTGTAACATTAGTATGATCTTGCTAAAATGAAATATATCTTTGAACATTTACAAAGGACAGATGAAAATTTTAGCAATGTAAATGTTGATAATAATAAGCAACATGGGGGATGGAGGTATGGCTCAGTGATTAAGAACACTGTTCTTCCAGAGGACCCAGAGTAAATTCCCAGCACCCACACAAGAGCTCATAGCTGTCTGTAACACAAATATACTCAATAAAATACTCAAAAACCAAATCCAAGAACACATCAAAGATATACATGATGAACCAATAGGCTTCATCTCAGGGATATAGAAATGGTTCAACATTCATGGTTCCATCAATGTAATCCGCCATGTAAACAAACTGAAAGTATCAAAAACCATATGATCATCTCATTAGATGAGAAAAAGCCTTTCCAAAAATCCAACATCTCTTCCTGTTAAAAGACTTGGAGAAATCAGGCATACAAGATATCAGGCACATACTTAACATAATAAAGGCAGTAAAATGTAAGCTGATATTCAACATCAAATTATTTGAAGAGAAACTTTAAGAAATTCCACTCATATGAGGTACAGGACAAGGATGCATACCCTCTCCATATCTCTTTAATATATTCCTTAATTCCTAGCTAGAGCAATAAGACAACGGAAGGCTATCAAGGAGATACAAAGCAGAAAGGAAGAAGTATCACTATTCAAAATGATTTACTAGCATACATAGGTGACCCAAGAAATTCTACCAGAGAATTCTTACAGTTCATATACACTTTCCACAAAATGGCTGAGAACAAAATAAACTAAAATTTCACTAGCCCTTCTGTATATAAATGAAAAAAAAATGGGCTGAGAATGAAATTTGGGAAACAACACCCTGAACAGCAGCCACAAACAGTATAAAATATTTTATTGTAATTCTAACCAAGCAAGTGAAAGACGTCTATAACTAGAATTTCAAGTATTTAAAGAAAGAAACTGAACATATCAGAAGATGGTAAGATCTCCCAAAATCATGGATATATAGGATTAACATAGTAAAAGAGCATTCTTTTAAATAATGCAGTCTACAGGTTCAATACATTTCCCAAAAAGATTCCAACATAATTCTTTACAGACCTTGAAGGAGCAAACATTAACTTCATATGGAAAAATAAAATACCCTTGATAGCAGACCAATCCTGTAAAATTGGAATAAGGACACAGAATAAACCCACACTCCTACTGGAACTTTACTTCCAACAAAGACAAAATCATACAATGGGGAAAAAAAAGACAACATCTTCAACAAATGGTGGTGGTACACTTATATGTCTGCATGTAGAAAAATGAAAATAGACCATTTGTATCACTCTACAAAAACTCAAGTCCATGGGGATCAAAGACCTTGACATAAAACCAGAAACTCTAAATCATTTAGAAGACAAGGTAGAGAAAAATTTGGAACTCATTAACACAGGAGATAATAGAACAACAACAGCACAGGCTCTAAGATCAACAATTGATAAATGGGATCTCAAGAAACTGAAAAGCTTCTGTAAGTCAAAGGACACTATCACTCAAACAATCAGCAGTCAACAGTTTGGGAAAATATCTATACCAACCCTACATCAGACCAAAAGGTAATATCAAAAATATACAAAGAACTTAGGATATTAAACACTAACAAATCAAATAATCCAATTTTAAAATGGGGTTCAGAGCTAAACTGAGAAGCCACAAGAAAGGAATCTCAAAAGGCACAGAAGCACTTTAAAATGATTGAAGTCCTTGGACATCACACAAATGCAAATCAAAATGACTCTAAGATTCCATCTTACACCACTCAAATGACTAAGATAAAAAACCCAAGTAACAACACATTCTGGTGAGGATGTGGAGAAAAGGGAACTTTCCTCCACTGCTGATGGGAGTGTAAACATGTACAACTTCTCTGAAATCAATCTGGTGTATTCTCAGAAAACTGGGAAGAGTTCTATCTCAAAACCCAGCTATACCAGTCCAAGGAATATATCCAAAAGATGGCCCATTATAGAACAAGGACATTTGTTCTACTATGCTCAGACCAGTTTGATACATAACAGCCAGAAACTAAGGAATGGATAAAGAACTTCTAGTACATTTACACAATGGAATACTATCCAGGTATTAAAAATAAGAAATCATGGAAATTACAGGCAAATGGATTGAACTAGAAAAGATCATCTGGAGTTAACCCAGACATAGAAACACATAGTTTATAAACTGATATTAGACCTACCATACAGGATAACCATACTACAATCCATACACCCAAAGAAGCTAAGAAACAAGAAGGGTCCATTGGAGGTTGCCAGAATGTCACTCAGAATAGAACACAGAACAGACAGCAGAAGTAGATAAAGAGAGGGAACTGGGAAGAAGTTGAATGGGGAGGGAAACAAATGTGGGCATCAGACGTGGGGAAAATGGTAATAGGAGGTGAGAGGGCTGAGAACAAGGGAAACTGAGAGGGGCATCTTTTTGACAAGCTGGAGTCATTCGACAGGGAAGGTTCCTGAGAGGATATGGGTGTGACTCTCACTGTGACTCCTAATGGAGGGGCGAAGGAAAGAGACATGGAAACTGAAGTGACCACTTCCTAGCTGACAGGACTAGTGGAGAGAGGGAACAACAACTGAATCACAAAAATCATGATCCAAAAATTACCCTGCCTACAAGAAGTTTAGGGATAATGAGGGAACAATGATTGAGGGAAAGTCCAACCAATAATTGGGCCAACCTGAGACCCACTTTACACTAGAGAGCTTTGCTGTGCTTGCAGAAAAGAGCCTAAACATGCCTGTTATCTCAGAGGCTCGACCTAGCAGCCAATGGAGACAGATGATGGAACTTGCACTTAGCATGGGGTAGATCCCTGTCATCTTATGGAAGTACTAGGAGAAAGATGGGAGAACCTGGAGGGGATAGAAAGCCACAAGAAGACCAACAGAGACAAATAATCCAGATCCGGGGCCGGGGGGCTTACAGAAAATGTGACATCAACTAAGGCAACTAAGGAGTATGCATGTTTTAAACCTAGTCCTCTTGAACTTATCTGTACTATTCGGGGCTTGGTCCATGTGGTTTGAATGGTAACTGAAGGGGACTGTTTCTAATATGAACTCTATTGCCTGCTTTTAGATCCTCTCCCCCTGTCAGGGGTGTCTTGCCTGGCCTTAGTGAATGAGGATATGCTCAGTCCTGATGTGACTTGATATGCTGCAATGGGGTGATACAGGGAGAGTAGGGATCCCTTTTTCTGGGTGGGGAGAAAGAAGGATGTGGGTGGGCTGAGAGGAGAGGAAGGAGGGATTACCCTATGGATATGAAGTTAAAAAACAAAGTAATTTCTTAAAAAAATTTAATACACTCAGAGAGGGACAGTGGACTTGAAAGGGGATAAGGGAGGGGGCTATAGCTGGGATACAAAATGAAAGTAATAAATAAATGAGAAAAAATAATATTTATACATTCTCTGAAAAATGCAGAGTGAAAACTGGCAACATGACCTTGACCATCAAATTAGAATGTTCAAAATGAACCCCCAAAAGTGTCATCAAGTCTTCATATAATATATGTCATGGCCTAAGAAAACATAGTCATATTACACACATACAACATGTTTTTTTAAAATAAATCTCATTGTTGTTGCATTATCTAGAACCTCTAGAAAATTCTCTGACAAGGCAGACCTTCAGCCTGATGTGCCATATAGTAACAAATGAGGACATAAAGACACATGTAACTTCAAACAACACATACATACATAAATTCTTTTAAGCATTTTATTATTAACATTGGTAAAATATGCTGACGAAACAGAACACATTGGGGGTACATCTGCCATCTTTGCACTTGTACTCAGTAAGCTGACACATGAGAATCAAGAATTCAAATGTAGCCTTGACTAATTACTAACATCCAAGCCAGGTTTGAAAACAAACATCACCTTCTAAGAAATCAGTTCTGAATTTTTAATTCTACCTTACTTAATTTTTTAGATCGTGAGCAGGATAAGAAATATCTGGGGCCAAATTACCACACAAATGACCTCTAGCTTAATTATTCATGGAGCCTATTTCCACTGAAATCCTATCACCTCCACTTCCTATGTATGTACACTCAACATTCTAAACTTCCAGGTCCTACAGGAAGTGCCAATTAAGGTTTGGACTTTTGCCATCTCAAGTCCTGAAATTTTCCACATTCCTCTAAAAAGAACATTCTCAGGTCTTTCCAGGAGCAAAGTAACTTTTGACATAACTTTTTTTTTCCTAACTTACTACTGTGCTGCTGTGATTGAATCCCCTAACCACAAACATCTCAGGTGATGAATGGGTTTACTTCTTTGCTCCTCTCAGACCACAGTCCATCATAATGGAAGCCTAGGATAGAAACTCACGTTTCAAGAAAACTTA